TAACGTGTTTAACGTCGAGACACAATAAGATATAAGGTTTGAAAAAAGGATCCAAAAAACCAAATCGGCTGATATGAGTTGACAAAAATGAAGCTGTTAAAAGGTTGGATATTAATAATATCCAGTGTATGTATATTGAATATATATATTCTCAAGATGCCGAAACTCCAAATTATGCGTACAGAGGATGAATTAAAGATGTGTGCTATAGTTCCATTGTTTTATGGCGTTTTTATATTGACAAATATCAAAGACACTTGATAAATAAATCAATATTTTCTTTAAAAGAATTTCAAAGGGCACGAAATGAAAAAATTAATCTTTTCTTAAGAGCAAAAGTTGATATAAATTTGTTTTTTTTCTCTATTAATCATCGTCTAGTTGCCAAATGATAAGATGCATCCTAATAATTTATCAGTGTATATACTGTACATGTATATATTATTATTATTTCATCTTAATGGTAAAGATCAGTTAGTTTATTAGGTTTACACTTTTCTTTGACAATTAAATTTTTTCAGCTTTATAGATTGCAATAAAATTAATCTCTCTCTCTACAATAATAAATCTTCTTTAAATTTAAAATTGATAATTAATCATCATCAGTAATAAGAAGCTCCTGATCGCATATTTTGTGAATTCATTGCCTTTCTGTTCACAAATTTTTGATGAATTCGCTACTGGTTGTGGAAAAAGAAGGAGCCGGTCAGTTGTAGTATTTTTATTCCCGCCGACTGAATTTCATAACTAGCACCAGCGGGCTTACTAAATGTATAATAAACTGTTTAATATTTCAAGCCATGTATGATTCTGAACTGTTTGAAAACAACAATAAAATAATAATATCCTTATCCAATGCCATTCATTCTCGGTTTCTTTATATCAACGAATCATTATTTGACAAGTCGACAGATTTTATCGGCCCAATTCACCAATTGTAAATGTACAACATACAAGTATTTATAAAGGATAAAATTGATAGTAATTGTATGAAACTGATGTTTTATTAGAAATAAGTAAAAAAATATGTTATATTAATAAATAAATTGATTGATTGATTGATTGATTAATTGATGGGATTTTTTTAAACGCGAATATTAATATCTATATTAATCATCTATATGGAATGAAATATAATTTTTTAAATTATCTTGTATACTTCATAATCTTCTAACAAACAAGTTTCCTTATTACCGGTTTTTAGATACAAATTATTTTCGTAAGTATTATTGTATCGATAAAAGCAGTAAGGTTCGTTCTTGATAGTATTATATAAACACAAACTCTCAAAACCCACCGCTCCATCACAAAATATTTTATTTTCGTGAGAAAAATCAATTCGGCCATAATGAGCTATTGCATTTTCAGGGCATCTAACTCTACTCATTATTGAATGTTCTATTTGATTTTTATCAATTTTAAAAATAAAGCTTGCGCTAGTTTTAATGTAATAATTTGCATCTAATGTAAGTCCTTTGAGATTCCAACAAACTGGATTATAACCACCAACCAATTCACCTGTCTCTTTAATTTTCATGATGGCCACAGTTTCTTCAATATCATCACATAATCTATGAAAAACTGAGCCGGAAAATCCGTCACGAATTCCGCTAAGAATCAATCTAAATTTATAAGAAATGTTATTTTCAATATTGTATGTATTGCGAACCCAATTTATCCAATTTGAAATATGACCTTTTGCTTTTTTTGACTTTAACAGGTTTCCTTTTCCTGTTCTTGGACCTTTCTTGGTTAATAAACGGGGCACCCAATTACCTGTACGATGATATTGAAGGATTTCTTTGTACAAATCTCTATTAATAATTTTTTTAAAAGGTTGGATTTTTTTATTGAAATCTTTTGATGAAATTTCACAAAATCTTATTAATGGGATAACATCATGTAAAATATTTTTCAAAGATTCAAAATCATCATTGTCCCATTCAGAGATGTTATCTTCTTTCAATCCTTCCTTGTTTTTTTGTTTAATTCCCCATTGAATAACATAATTCCAAATATCAATTTCCTTTAATATCAAATCATTTTTTCTCAATATGGATAAAAGTATCGATTTCTCCAAGATTGCTCCGGAATCAGCATCTTCTTCATCTTCATCTTTATTATAATCATCATCATCAACTGATTTCATGAATAATTCTGGTCCAACCGAAAGCCAATGATCACAATAATTTAAAAGTATGCTAAAATGATTGTATTTCAATGTCAATTTATAAATAGAAATCAAGTTGTCTCTTGTCCATTTTTGTTTTTTATTAATTAGATCGTATTGTAGAATATCTAATACTTCATCCCCGATACACAATTCATCACAAGCTTCAAGAAGTTCAAGATTTTCTTTTGGATGAAGACGATCCAAATCGATATTTCCATTATAAATGTAACTATTATCATGATTATATTATTACAAGTTATATTAAATATAAAATTAAAAAGATTATAATTAATCAAATCAACTAATTCAATCAAAGAAGAATAAGACCTTACCCCAAAATAATTTTAAATATTCGAGGAGGAATATTTTTCTTTTCAAAAATAACCTTACCATTATCAGATTTTCTTAGCCAATTATTTGATAAAGCTGCTTTAAAATAAGTTGAATTTGATTTTAATATGGTAGAATGAGCATGAAATGTTTTGACGTTTTGATCCTTTCCAATTATTATTTCTACGTCACAATGATCATCGCCACCACCCTCACCATCACTTTCTGACATCATCTTTAATAAAAAAATTTTTTTAAAAAATTTAAATGACAACGTAAATAAATATATATATATTAATGTGAGAAATTTTTTAAATGAATAATCTCAATTTGGTAATCTATGTAAGTCACATGATGTTTATCAATAAGGAAGTAATAAAAATGCGTTCGCAAAAAACAAATGCAAAACATAATAATAATCAAAAATGGTCACGTTTCAATAGTCTCTACTCAATATAATAAAAATAAAGACTTTCTGCACCCGTATCTAGAAGTATTGCACTACAACTATATTTAAAAACGGGAATAGTGTCTATCTTTAACACAAAAAAAAGATTTAACATTTGCCGTGTCATGATCTCCTTCCAAAACTCGCAAGTCGTGCGACTTCCGTGCAGTTTTCCCGCCGATTGTCTCCTTTTGCGTCTAGACGCGCTTGGTCTTCTCAGTTTTTGGCGCAATCAACGTTTTCACCATATTAATATTTAGCAAAAATTGTGTCGTACGGCGAATGTTTTGTTTTATAAAAAACAGGTTGCATTGAAATTGAGTTGCGTTGAATTGAATTGCAAAGCAATGCGTTGCAATTGCAATTGAAACCGAAAAATCTTTGTTTTTTAAACCTAATTTTTTGGGAAGGGATTTTTTGCTTTCGCTGGGTGGTAATTTCAGAATTTTTTTTTTTATTTTTCTGGAAAAAAAATTGAAAAACTCCAAATTTTATTTGAATGATATATTTATTTTCATAATACTTTGAAGCAAGAAGTAAAGATCCAATAAAAATTTTTCTTTTACATTCTTTATTTTTTTTATTTTGTTCAATAAATCTCAAAAAATATATTTGAGCAAACAATAAAGTGTAATAAGTAATTTTTAATCTTTTAAGTACCTCTTTAATAAATAAATCCAGTGGTATCTGATATATAATATTGTTATTATCATTACTTAAAATTAATAAATATTTTGTAAATTTAACAATATTATTTATGAAATTGTAATTAGTATTCATTTTAAACATTTGTCACGTAAAAAATTTCAATACTCATACAATTTATATAAAAAAAAAATAAATACTAATAATAGTTTTCGCAGAAAACTACAAATGATCATAGTCGAGCTTGAGAGGATGAAATACAAATTATAATCAACGTACAAACAATATTTGTCGCAATGAATAGTTATTTAAAAAATAAAGACAAATTTATTACAAATATTCATATAATAAATAATTTTTAAATGTTTCATCTTGAAATTTGTTTTATCAATTTTTTCATTTTTATTATTTACTTTATTAATTAAAAATTCAAAAATATTTAAAACATTCATCAATATTTTTAAAATAATTTTGTAATTAAAATAAACGAATATTTATTTAAACTTTCATGATATTATATAAAAATATTTAATATTATTTATTATTATTTTCATTATTTTTTTCTTCTCTTGTCTTTCTTTCCATTTTCTTTCTCTTTCCATTTGTTCCTGAGTTTTTGAATTTTTATTTTTAGGAGTTATTTGTAGTGGTTTTTTTTTATTGGTATTAAGTGGTAGAATTGGTGGTAATTTATCACAATTACAACTAATTTTTTTACAAACCATATCTAAAAAATATTTTTATAAATAAATAATATCTTAGATAAATTAATAATAATAGGTAAACTTACTTTATTTTTTTATTATAAATAATATTTTATTTATGACAAGATTAGTATTTTTTACATTATATATAATAAATTTTTATCAAAATTGCAATTTTATTCATCTTCATCTTCATCTTTCATATCAATATCTTTATAGTCTTCTTCTTTATATTCAACATTTCCTAAAATATTATCAATTTTTGTAAAAATTTCTATATCATTTTTACGATTATAACCATGAATACATTTTGGTTTATATACAGCAAATTGTAACATATCTTGAAATTTAAAAATTCTTTTTCTATTATAAAAAAAAAGTATATCTATAAAGATCTGTTCCAAGAACAAAACAAGGAATATCATTTAATACATCGGATTTTGTTACTTTTTCAATTTTATTACCCGTATCATATTTATAACTATAATTAGATGGTGGTTTAATAATTTTATCATCTTTAATAAAAATCATGTGAAAAGTACTCATTTTTGCTTTTTCTATAACAATTGTAATATCATCTCTTTCATTTTTAAAAATACGACGACCTTCAATTTGAGAACTTTTCAAAGAAATTGATCCTGATATTGACATATTACTAAATTAAATAAAAATTAGTTATTATTAATAATAAAGTTTAAAAATTAAATATTTTTACATACATTTTTGAATCAATAATTATATTTTATACAATTAAATTTATAAAATATCTTTTATTAATAATAATAAACATTTAATTAAAATTTACAAGATCATTTACAAATACTAATATTAATAATTTTGGATTTTGGTTTGTTTGTAATGAGATTATAATTAGAATTCATTTTAACATTATATCACGTAAAATTTTTCAAATACTCATAAAAAAAATAAACACTAATAGTTTTCAAAAATAAAATTTTAATTGGTAATTCTATTTTTTTTTTATTTAATTAAAAACAATTACAAAATATTTATATATAAAATTTAAAAAAATTGAAAAGTGCCCTCAAGCAGTACTATCATTATTATTTTCTTCATTTTTATCATCATCATCATCATCATCAGTTAAATCTTTCCCGATATTTCTAACATACTTTAAAATAGATATATTAATTTTGTTAAGAAATGTTTCCAAATCCTCTTGAGATTTAACATAATCTAAAATAGATTTTTTAGTATTATCAAGAAATTCCTTTAATTCATCATCCTTTTCATTTGTACGGAAATATTTTGATAAACCAATTCTATCAGATTTTTTATCAAATTTTTTAAAAAATTTACCCAAAGTCGATTTTTCATCAAACATTCTAGACAAAAGAAAAATCATCAAACTTAAAACTAATTTAGTTAAAAAAAAATTATTTGAATAAACTATAGAAAAACTTAACCCAACTGTAATTACTATATAGAAATAAAAACCCAACATTGCACGACCAAATAAAATAAAAATAAAAGTTATTAAAATAATAAAAAATGAAACAACTATAAACCATTCATAACTAAGTTTTTCAATTATGATATCTTTTCTAACCCAATATATTGACACGGAAAATGAAACAACTGGAAAAACTGAAAGTAAATAAAAAATACCAAATATAACTAAAAACTTAGAATTTTTAGGTGATAAACCAAAAAACATAAGAGAAATAAACGAACAAAAAGTTGAAATCATACAAACATAATCATAGTTAGAATTACTCTTAAATATAAAAAAATTATATAATGGAAGAAAGAACAATACAAATACTATAAGAATGAAAAGTTCAAGTGTACCAACAATTTGTCTTATTATTTTATTACCACTATAAGCTAATATGATAAATAATGGTACCAATCCATTGATTAAATTATCATAAATATCCTGAATAGGATTATATTCTTGTTCATTATTTGATTCTTCATTAATAGGTACGGTTTTAATAATATTAATAAACAAATTAAAAATAAAATAAAATAAAATTTTTTTCATAATTAAAAATTTATTTTATTTTTTTTTAAAAAAAAAATCAATTTATATGAATATTTTAACATGTCACAGAGAGTGTAATTTCATATGTGAAATTAAAATTTCAAATCTGTGTAACAAATCGGGTTTTAAAAATATCTCGACTTTCTAATAATAAACTTGAACTTCACTATTAAGATAAAAAAAAACTACACCATTTA